TACCTCATGCACCTTTTTGTGCAACATCATCTTCTACATTCGTATCCTGATCGTCTGAATTCTTAACCTGATTTGTAACCGCAACTAGGGTTAAAACTAGGGTAAAATAGTTTGCATTTTAGAGGATTATCTAAAAAGTTTCCGAAATTTACTGTACCATCCGTGTTTATTTTTGACATTAAAAACTAGTAACATTGCGACATAACATATGCAGTGGTTTTTACCAGCTCTGTTCTGCCAATTTTCTTTAGCAAATGTTACTAAGTTAAGCTAAAATGCATGTAAAAATAAAAATAAATATTTAATTATAAAGCAGGACTTTCATAACGAGAGAACAGCAACTCATATTTTTTTTACTGTGTCAATGCCATCAATAATTTCTAAACATCTGAGTTCATTAATTTTCTGGCATTTAAGATAGTAGATTTTTGCAAAAAGAGCTTTTTAACACGTTCGCTGCCGAGCGATTTTTAAATATGTTTTAATACTTTGCCAAGCCATAATGTTTGCATTGATTAAATTTTGCCGAGGCTGTTTTGCGTGGTTTTATTCTCATTGCCAAGGCTAGATGTCAACATTTCAATAAATAAAATATTTTTAATCTAAAATAATTTTATAATATTTTTTATTCTGAATATAACTGACAAAAAATAAGCACAACGAGTATACCCGTACTTTGGCAATGGAGAAGAATTTTTTTTCTACAGTGCCGAAGTACGAGTTTACTTGTAACACCGTAATGAGTATAACTCATTGCGGTGACTAGTAATGTAGCTTATTTCATGCATTAAGTTCATTTTGTTGTGTACTTTAAATTTTATTGTGTAATTCAAATTAGTAATGTCACCACAATGAGTATAACTCATTGCAGTGACATTACTAGTCATCGCAATTAGTATAACTTGTTACAGTGACTAGAAATGTCACTGCAATAACTTATACTCATTGCGGTGACACTTCTAGTCAACACATCAAATAATATTTGATGCATTTTTATTGTAAATAGAGTTTCAATTTTTTTCACATGCACATGCACATTGGCAGTTATTATGAGTAAAAAAGGTAATTTATATATTTTTTTCTTAATTCTAAATTGTTGTGTTTTTTAGACTAAAAGCTGAAACATATTTTATAACTACATTATAGGTATAATGCAGTCAAGCTTGAAGATGTAGTAGTATAAGCAAAAAATAAATCCGAATCTTCAATATCATTATCTTCACTATCCTCACAATCTTCCATAATCATATGAGCTGATTCAATTGTGGAATATCTGTGTTGAGCTAATATGGTATAGATAAATTTATAAATTATTTATTTATAAAAAAGAAATTACCTATCTATGCAGTACTGCATGTTATTAGTAAAGTGAAAAAAAATTTGAAGTACGCAATAAAATGTTTTTTAATTTATTAAAAAATATTTTAGTGTGCACTTCGAATTCTTTACACAGTATACTAACTAATGTGTTTATAGATTGGTAATTTCTTTTTTATAAATAAATAATTTATAAATTTATCTTTACCATATTAGCTCAACACAGATATTCCACAATTGAATCAGCTCATATGATTATGGAAGATTGTGAGGATAGTGAAGATAATGATATTGAAGATTCGGATTCATTTTTTGCTTATACTACTACATCTTCAAGCTTGACTGCATTAGAATCAGGTTCTGAAGATAACAACACTGAAGAAAAGGATGACGATCAGTTAACAGACGTTCATCTAGCAGCCACTGCAGAAGATTTTTTAATGCCGCCAAAAAGGGCGAGAACAACAGGTGGTCTTGCTTATAGACAAAATCAAAACAAAGCTCAACAAGTAGATCTTATAAGAAATATTTTACCTAACGAACCAACTTCTGAAACAAATCCATCTAGAAATTCAAACCAATGGAAAGATGAGCCAAATATTGTAAAACAAATTCAATTTACTGACGATCTTGGTTTGAAGATAAACATGGAGAGCAAGAAACCAATAGATTTTTTTAGCCTTTTTGTTACAGAAGAGCTTATAAATACTATAATAGTTGAAACTAGTTGCTACGCAACGCAAGTAATAAATAAGTAGCGTCGGCTCAGAAGAAGCTCACGTATTAAAGATTGGAAACCAATAAGTTCAGAAAATATGCGGCAGTTCCTTGGAGTTCTTCTTCATATGAGGTTTGTCAAAATGCCATCTTTAGAACACTACTGGTTTAAGAACAGTCTCTATAGATTTTTCTTATTTTCTATAACAATGCCACGAAATAAATTTAAACTAGTGTTACGATTTTGGCATTTTATTAACAATGAAGATTCGGGTAGCGGACGCTTGTGTAAAATTATTGGATTTCTCGATCACTTAAATAATACAATGGATAATATCTACTGTCCTAATAAAAACACATCAATTGATGAATCAATGATGCTTTGAAGGGATGTCTTGTATTCAGGCAGTATCTGAAAAATAAAAGACATAAGTATGGTATCAAATTCAATAAGATTTGCGAATCAGATGGTATTGTACTAAAAGTAAAAAATCTGGCGAGGTAACTCTCAGTAAACATTTGTTGGGTCAAACGGGAGCTATTGTTTTACATTTAATGTAAAAATCTCCGAGAAAAGGATATCACCAGTACACTGATAACTTTTTCAATTCCTTTGAACTAACAAAGCACATGATAAATCAAAAAACATACATCTGTGGTACTTTAAGAACTGACCAAAAGTCAAATCCAAAAGAATGCGGAAAAGCAAAACTGAAACAGGAAGACTTTATAAGCGAGAGGGTGTAGTGGTTGCTAAATAGAAAGAAAAAAGAGATGTGCTAATGATTAGCAACTTGCATTTGTTGCAAATGATTGAAGTGACAAACAGGAGAGGAGAGAAGAAAATGATACCTAACACTATTAAAGATTAGAATCAAATTATGTCAGGAGTAGATGGTCAAATGGTATTATATCATGAATGCCTAAGAAAGACTATTATGTGGTATAAAAAAGAAGCACTTCATCTCTTTGATATTTTTTTGTTTAATGCTTACTGTCTATATAGCAAATATGGAGTAGATAAAACAATTTCCTTGCTTAAATTTAAAGAATTAATTGTAACGGATTTATTGGGTGAGCGTTTTTATGAAATTGTGCCTCGAATCACGAATAACAACTTCCGCTACCTGTCTTCAATACCACCAAATGAAGAAAAAAAATTCCCAACAAAACCATGTCAAACTTGCTCTAAAATAAAACGTAAAAAAACACGATATGAATGTCCTACTTGTGAAAATAGACCTCCGTTATGTAATGGCGAATGTTTCAGAATGTATCATTTAAAAGAATAGGTTTCATTTTTCACACTTCAGTTTTCATGAAATAAAATTAAAACAATATTTTATTTTTTTCTGTTTTAAGTTATTTCTGTCTTTATCCTCATTTATATTAGGCTCCTGGAATTTTAAAATAAAAACTTATATGTAATATTTTCTGAAATCAAATTTGAAGCTAAGAAAAAAATAAAAAATACACTGACAAAGCCAATCATGCACAAGCTTTATTTGAAACAAGTTAGTATAACTACGAGTTTACTCGTAGTTGGCAAACTTATGACGCCGCCTTACTACGAGAATTCTTGTAGTTGGCAAATATCAAGCTCCCGCCAACTAATTACTACGAGTATACTCGTAGTTGGCAGCGAACAGGTTAACTTCCATGAATTAAAATGGCGCAACTGACACCCATTTATTATTTATTTATCAGTCGTTTTGCTTTCAGTTGTTGTGAATGAATTTTGAAAACACATTTAAAGGCGAGTTTCCACTCATCCGTTTTTTTTACGGGAACGGGAAAGGGACGGGAAAAATTATCACGTGGGCATGCGTAGTATAAGTTTTAATATGCCCAAAGGAAAACTACGCATGCTCACGTGATTATTTTTCCCTTTCCTAATTAAGACTTAAGGTGAGTGGAAACTTACCTTAAGTCTTAATTATTTAATTATTTAGAAATTAAAAAATAACTTTTTGATAAGTCTTTAATTGCGTTTTAATTATGCCTATTTAAACCGTGTGGCTTAAGCTCCTCTGAGCAATGGCTGCATTACGATATTATAATATAATAAACTTTTGTTAAACGTCGATCAAACGTATAGAACAACGACTTATGTTAGTCAATGTTGTAAACGTTTGATCGAAGTTTAACAAACGAATAAATTGAAATTTAAAGCGTAGATTTTAAATCTATAAATGTTTACGTTTAATTAAGGTTAAAGGTTTACAATATTGACTAATGTAATTCGACATTTTAAACGTTAGATCAACGTTTAGTAAACGTATATATAAAAAAGTTTGAAATATACATTTCAAATCAAGCGTCAAATTTTAGTCAATTATTGGTTGCTAAATGTTTTATTCATTTTTCAACCGATTTTGACTAAATAATGACTAATTCTGAGGCAATCTGTGTTAACTGGGATAATACTATGCTTAGAAAATTCTGGCACATAACAAAATTCTCCTAGAACTTCTACTTCTTCAACTCTTCTTTCTAAGTCGTTAAACTTCTTTCCATTTTTTTTTCTTCTTTTTACCCGTTATATTTTTTTGCTATTAATATTATTATGATTTTTATATTTTTTATTTTGCATAATCACTTTTTAATACAAATATTTAATTTGATTATAGTAATAAAATATATATAGCTTATACTGTTTCATAATGCTGTATTTAATATTATTATTATTATTATTATTATTTATTACTATTATTACTATTATTATTATTATTATTATTGTTATTATTGCAATTATTATTATTATTATTATTATTATTATTATTATTATTATTTTGCTATAATTTATCCTATCATAGGTCTTGACACGCATCAGTTTATAGCTGTTTGTAAATGTCCCGTACGATTGTATATATATACAGTTATTATTAAAGTAAAAATATTCTGATTTGATTTGGAAGTTACGTCTTATAGTGGAAACCATGTGTCATAAAATGTATTATTTTTAGTTTCAGCCTGTAGTAGTCAATATCGATCCTCCCAGAGCTCACCAAAATGCAAACTTTTTTGGCTCTCAAAGTGTACCACAATTGGCAGTATTGCCGTACCCACCGGCATGTACATGTTTAGCATGGTCTTCTTTCTTTTTTGGCTGTTTTCCCATTGGTGCATTTGCTATATACTATTCCAACCAAGTAAGTCTGAATCTTATTTTAAAAGTTCTAAAATTTTACAATTAACTTATATATATATATATATATATATATATATATATATATATATATATATATATATATATATATATATATATATATATATATATATATATATATATATATATATATATATATATATATATATATATTATATATATATATATATATATATATATATATATATATATATATATATATATATAAATGAAGGGTTGGGTTGTAACAAAATACATTTACTTTGTTACAATTCCTTGTTACCATTTGCAATAATTGTACGTGTAACGAGTTATTTTCTTCACAGTTCTTTTATTTTTACTTTCGTTATTTTTCAGACTTTTTTTATTTTGTAACGAGTTACTTTTAGAAAGAAAGAACAAAAATACTTGAACTTTATTGAATCAAATAAACTCTATAATACGCAAAATATCATGAAATCAAAACCGATATCATTTCGCGTTAGATTTCAGAAATGCATCAAGACTCACGGTTTCAAATTGAATACACAAGATACACAACGGAATAAACGAATAAGCAGACAAGCCTGATTGCTACAGTTTTGTAGAGACCTTTATTGCAGAGTTTTGACCTTTATTGCAGAGTAAGTAGCTAAAATAATCTGGGTGCTGCTATAAATAGCAATGATTCAATCAGTATATTTGAATATGTAGCAGAAAAATATTGGTCTGGAATTGATCTGGCAATTATTAACCTGGAACAGTAGTCGCATTTATCCAGATTAATATAACTTACATATAAATCTCTTTATATTCAGCGTGTTGACGCTGATCATAAAGAGAATGAGCGTTGGCTTGAATCCTTTTTTACTGAAGATCTAAATTTAAACAAGCTTAGTTGAATTCATTCAAAATGCATTTCGAATTATTTGTTTAAATTCATTAATTGTTTAAAGTCATGTTAAATTTTTGAATTTTTAAATCTGAGAAATTAAATTTAAAGTGGTCAAAATTTGTCAAATTTAAATTTGAGTCAAATTCGAGCTTCAAATTCAAGTTCAATTTTTTTTTAATTCAATTTTGGTCTATTTAAATTTCAGCGTTATTATATACTATATATTATCATATATTATTATATAGCATAAATATCAGCATTATTCGAAATATCAAATTTCCAAAAATCAAAATTTCATTTCAACTTTAGAATTTTTTTTTTAGACTTTTAACAACAGCCGTGGCGCAGTGGTAGCTCACTTGCCTTAGAAACTTAAAATCCGTAAGGACTTCTTGGGGCACCTAAATAAAAAAAATTATATAAAATAAAATAAAACAAAAAACTTTCAAGGAATCATTGCGTAATGATTTGATCGTTTTACGCGTAATCCAAGGGTTACGAGTTTAAGTCATGCTCGAGCACATAAGCGTTGTCCGTAAAGTTTGAATTAGGAATTAACTAATAAAATGCTAATTCATATGTGTAGTTGCTTTGTGATAAGACCATAAGGTCTTCTGTGATGAGACCATCAGGTCTTCTTATAAATTTCTTAAAAAAAAAATTGTGGAGAAATAACGAAAAAAAGACAAATAAAATTTTTTCAATTGTCAGATTTTTAAATGTTTTAAATGCGTTGCATACAAATGGTTGATTTAAACCCAAAGTGATTGCGCTTGAGGACTAAAGTCCAACTTGTTTTTTTTTCTCTTTTGTTAAAATAAGTTTTACCTGAAGCTTTCAGTTAGTAAATTTTTTCCATTTCAAGATGTGTTTTTTTGTACGTAACAACTGCACCTCTTGATAAGAAAACTGGTTTACAGCTCGCAGATGACTCCTGAAAAATAAATTGGTTTTAATAATTGGTTGAAATTTAAATCAACATAAAAAAAGAGATCAGAAAATTTTGAATAGCCAAAGTTCAAATAGACAAAGTTAAATAATTTGGCATTTCGAACCTTTTCAATTGACATTTTATAATCCTCCTTAACAAATTATTTAAAAAAATAAATTTAGGTTTTTTTTATTGGGAGCAAAGGTTTTTTTCTGAAACACTTGACAAGAAAAGGAAACCCTATATGATGCCTTCTCGACCATTGAAACACATCATCATTATCTTGAGGAGAATCTTTCAAGTTGAAGTACATTTTTATTCTCATCTGCATCGAGCTAATGATTGACTCAAACAGTGAATGGGTGGGCTGGCTCAACTAAGAAGACAATTATCCATAAAGAAACATGATTAATTATTTAATTTTTTTTTTTAATTTCAATTTTCTCTTACTTTTTTTTAGATCTAACTAGCTAATCATCGCTTCAATATTGTTGTTGTCCTCATCAACATTTAAAAAAATTCCTTGATTCCAGTCATGGACTGGTCTAACTTCATTTTTCTTGATCATCATCTCAATTATTTCCTGTAGATTGTACTTTGTGTTGGCAAGTGTGAGCCTTTTATGAAATGGTTGGAGAGCTGCTCTATAAGCATTAAGCTTATTTCTGCAAACTGGATGTCTCTTTTCCAACTTTGACTTTAGATTTTTGCAGTACATTTGCCTCCTCCTTGTTTGATGAATTCATTATGTTGAGAATTAAGGTTGTCCCTCAATGTTGAATAGCTTAGACACCATGTGGTCAAGTGGTAGTAGGTTGTTAGTCAGAAGAAAAGAATAAAGACATCTCTTTAATTTGGCTCACGGGTCAACAATGGCGACAATCTGAAAAAAAAGCAAGATTAAGTTTTTATTATTTTTAAGATTTGAAATATTAGGAAAAAAGAATTTTATAATTTTAGTTTGAAAAAAATCAAATTTAATCAAAATTACCTGTACAAATTCTTCTGATGTATGTTTGCTATCTTTCAGCTTGAGATTAGATCCCTATCTGAAATCTCTCAAGCACTAACCTCAACTTGAGGATAAACATTATCATCAACAAGCTGGAATTCCAAAAGTTCTCGACAAATGTAACAATCATGACAAGTTCAACTGAAAAAGATTTTGATAAAATTTGGTTTGAAACTAGTGTCAAACTTGGTTATAAAAAATGACCTAATTTTTTTTATTTAAATCAAATATTTTAAGTTTGACTGTATATTTCAAATATAATATGAAAAGTCACACTTGAATCACACTTTGTCCTGATCCTCTATTGGTCAATTGGTATTCCTGTGGGTTCTGGATGGTCGTTACTTATATGCATCAACAGTGTTTTTTCCTTCAGGGATGCTGAGGCACTCACTCACTCTAACACACTACAAAAATTAAGTAGGTTATCCGCACACACAAGACCCTCCTTAATATTATTAGTCATTTGTAGTATGTCTCTCAAAAGGCCGACGACATAGGTTTTGAAGTGGGGGGGGGGGGCACAATTATCAATTTGCGCCCTCTATATCAAAATTTGTTTTTTTAAAAAAAAGGTAATTTAGAAAAAAAGTAAGGGGGCACGTACCCCCTGGCTCCGCCGGAGTGGTCGGCTTTGTCTCATCTAGCATAATTGCTAGATGAGAAACTTTTTTTTTTTTTTAAAGTTAATTTAGGTGCCCCAAGAAGTCCTTACGGTCTTATCACAGAGCACCGCGGAAGAGCATTTAATACGAAGTTCACGCCTCCTTCCCAACCGATGTCGCAAAACATGCCCAGAGGTGGGGTTTGAACCACGGCTCTTACATTTCTGAGACAAGTGCGCTACCACTAAGAGACTTGCGATCTTTTTTTTACTTTTTCAATGTGTATAGCAATGCTATGTTTTGAAATATATGTCTACCCTTTACACTTCCACAATACACGAGCTGCTACTTCTGGTTCAAAACCTTGAAGTGTTATGATGCTTTAGGCCAAGTAATGGATCAAAGTTCTTTAACAAGTTAACAACTTTTATTTGAACATAGTTTGAAGAATAACCGACTTGTATCTTTGATATCGTTTCGCCAATTCTGTTATACTTCTAACAGGCCAAACAATTTTATTTCGTTTGATGCTATTGCTTTCCACGGAAAAAGTTGGAAAAATCTCATTACTAATGTAATAATCAAGTTTTTTAAAAATGAGTTACTTTGATGACCACAAATCAGTTGTGAAAGCCACTCCAAAAGAATTGGTTTTTAAATTTGTTACAATCGTGTTGGTTTCTGCTTTTTTGACCAATTGATAAAGAAGAGGAAGCTCTGGCCTCACGTTCAACGTTGAAATTCACGTGGAACTTTGTATAGAAGTGAGAAAGTCTTAAAATGCCGCCTTATTTATATGGTTAAAAGCAAGATTACTGCCTGCTAAATCACAACAATCACAATAAGATTACTGCCTGCTAAATCACAATATCACAAATAAATCAAACTTCAGCTGGTGATCTGACATTGTGTTTGACAATCCGCTTGAAGAATGATGGTCAAGTTGTGAGAAATGAGGGCCTACCGTCTTTTTTTGGGAGACTTCTGAAATAACTTTTTTCCAGTTTGTCTTTAGTGTGGATAAACGGCATCTAATTAGAATGATACCAAATGATATCGTATTTGTTAAAGTTTAAAATAGCATCAATAATCTTATTTAATTAAGCTAAATTTTGTTAAATAATTGCTATTTCATTTGAAAATTTTAGTAAGTTTAATCTTTCCCGATAAATCAACAACATCAATTTCAGAATTATAAGAAAATTTAGTGTGAGTGCTCAGGTTGGTCTTATTTCTTATCAGAGATCCTCTTGCCCGCTTGGTTATAAAGTTTATTTAGCTTCTTAGTAACATCCAGTATTTTTTAAACTTTTTTTCTCCATGTTGAGATCTTGTATTTTTGAAAAATACGTCCATATTTTTTGAGATTTTAAAACATGTTAAATTTTAATTTTTCTATAAAACAAACGCATTTTTCCCAAACAAGAAGTTTTAATTTCATTTAATTTTCAGGTTTTAAAAGGTTTCCATAATGTAACGGTTGCTAAACAAATAATTTTCTTTTGACAGCGATTTTTATTTAAAAGCGATTTGCATATTTTGCTTTATGCAAGAACTCGCGTTTTGTGTTCATTCTCCTTAGGCTAGTTTTGAACAAGTTCAATTGCTAACAATTGAAACACTACAATACCCTCGAGCAATAATGCACTCTAAAACCGACAGTTCTCTCAAGCACTGAATACACTCTAAAACCGAATGGTTATTTGAAGAACTTTATTGAGTTCTTGACGTTGATGTTGAGGAAGTTCCCTTTTGGAAGGGTTCTTCAGAAAAACCTTTCTGTAAGGTTCTTTAATGAAACCTTAATGGTTCATTAAACAACATCTGACTTCCAAATTAGATGTTCGCAAATTTCTAAATAACTTTTTAAAAACAACTCAAATTAAAGATAAGTATTGAATTCTTAGATGATTTTTTTAGTTTTAATACCAGTTTATTTTCAATACTCTTTTGAATATCCAAAAAGGGTATACTATATGATAAAAATGATTAAACCTTTGCGCAAAATGAAAAATAAAACAACGACTAAAATAAAAATTAGCATAATATTACAAAATTTCGATGTCGTTGAGCTCGAGGCGTTGTAGTTGTTGGCATATCCCACCTCTGAGTGTTATCAAATGTAATTATGGTTCAAACAGACTCTTTTAACAACTGTGGTAATAAAAGAATATCTCTATTTAAAGCAGCATCTGAAATAGTGAAAAAAAAAAGTTACATGGCAACATAAAAAACCATACAAGTTAACTAGATATAATTTAAACAAGTGATTGCTTACCAATAAACACAAAAACGCCTATTAAATGTCAAAACAACTTTTGACAAAACGTTTAGATTTGGTCGATTATCCGTTTAGAATGAAATACAGATTAACGTTTAATTCAAACGTCCATAAAACGTTTATAGTCAAACGTATTTGAGACGTCTATTATAGGATTATTTTACGTATATAAAGCGTTTAGATTTTGTCTAATTTACGTTTAAATTTAGTCTAATTAACGTATATAAAGCGTTTAGATTCAGTCTAAGTAAACTTATATTAAACTTGTAGATCTTGTCAAATAGTTTCTTTGATTTAGTTAACGTAATTTCAATTTATTTAAGTTTTAAAACTTACATAAATTAAAATTACGTTGTAACTTTTTAACTTTACACTTAACTACACTTTTATATTATAATACTCAGTGGCGTTGCGTGGGAAAGTTCCAGGAGGAGGGGGGGGGGAAGAGACCTCAATTTTTCCAACTGTTTAACATAGATTTTCCATTAAGAAAGGGGTGAGGGGGGAGCATAATGTCTGTTTTTTGCCAATTAATGTAGTAAAGCAAACTTATATAAAAAAAAAAAAAAAAGACCCAACATTTTTATATGTTTATTTTGTATAAATCAGTTAGAACTACAGTAATAACTCAAAAATAGTTTTATGTAATAAAGGTGCATTTAATGAATATTTAAGATGACATCATTTCTACTGCACTTTGATAAAAGGAAGCAAGTAATTTTGCGAATTTGAAATACTAAGGTACTCTAAAACATATACAGACACAACATTTTTTTACTTTAACTGACTATGGTATTTATTAATTCTATTTTTTAGGTGAAATCTGCTACCAAACAAAATGATCTCGCTACAGCAGTTCAAGCTTACATACTTACAAAAAGATTGTCGTACTGGTCATTTTCAGTTTTGTCAATGTTTTTAATAATTTGCATCGGAGTTTGGCGTGTTATTTATAGTTCATACTATTAAATCAACAACAGTTTGTTCTTTATACTATTTTGTAATTTACACCATTTTTTTCCTAGTAAAAAATTAATTGCGAAAATGTTGCGTTTGTGTTTCATGTTTGTAAATATATTTGTATATTATGTTTTTATTTATTTTTTAATAATATTGAAGATTTTGTTTATTTAAACTTTTAATTAACTAAGGAAAAAACTTACAGTCTTGAATTAGCGGAAAGGATGAACTGTTTTACCCAGGATAAAAACAGGTAAAAACTTTAAAAAGAATTTACTTGTCTTTACTTTGATGGTTAAAGATTTTACCTGTTTTTACCAAATAACAGAATTCCATTTTTTGATTCAACGTCATTGTTTTGACGTGGTATTTTAAGAGACAACGTCTCAATATTTCAAAATTATACTTATAATTTTAAAATATCGTCATATAAGTTTGACATAGCATTGTATAAGTTCGACATTTAATTGAATAATTTTAGTTTTTAATTTCTAATTTATTTCAACATAGTGCCGCATAGTTTAAACCTAGTTTTTCAAAATTTTAACCTGAAGTTCTAGGTTAACCTATAACTTTATGTTAAAATTATGCAAAACTACGTTTAAACTATGCGTCTTTTTTTGACAAGAACTACTCAACAAATTGCATTTTATGTTGAAAAAAAGTTTGCAAATTTTTTTTTAAATAACAGCCCAATATTGTCTATGTGGCTAGAGCCGGCATCAAACCTTTTGGTTTCAAGCCAGAACCTAATCACTTCGCCACAGCTGCAAGACCAAACTGAATCTATTTGGTTCATTCTGCTAGGATGTAACTGAACCTATTTATACCCCGCTGGGGTTTTGTTGTACAAAAAAAGTAATTTGTACTAACTTACTAGTTTTTACAAACTAGAATTGGGTTGTTATTTAAAAAAGATTTGGCGAAATTTTTTTGATAACAAAATGCAACTTGTTGAGCAGTTCTTGTCAAAAAGTCACGCATGCTCATTTTTGTTTAGCATTTCAAAGTAACAGTAGAATATGTTTTTAAAAGTCATTGTTCAATTAAAGGTTGTATGATTTATGAGACGTATGATTATTTGGTCGTATGAGGCGCATAATTACTTCATAATGAAAGGTGCACCTTTTATGAAGTAATTATGCGTCTCATCCACTCATTAATATCTGAAACACATGCGTTATTATTGAATTATTATTTGCATTCATTGCATTATTATTTGATTGCATTGCGTGCATTATTATTTGAAAATGCATGCATTAATATTCAGAAGTTTGGTACGAAATTAATAATTGTAAATCAATTTAAATACAAATTTAAACAAACTTTTGTGCAACAAATTGTAGTTCAACTTTATAACATATATTCGAATATACTATTTATTGATGACATTTGATGTCCTGTTGCCATGACTTAAACCCAAGTAATAATAATTCATAAATATAAATGGTAATACAATAATCTTAAACAAACACAAAGTCTTGAGAATACGATATTCCCAAGCAAACGCAAGACGTCTAGAGGCGTCGTAATTAGATCTAGATTAAGACGCAAATTGCTCAAGAGGACTATTAAACGTCTATTTTAACTCAAAAGTTACCTATGATATCAAAAATATGTATAAAAACGAATTGAGTATCATATTATTTTTATATTTAAACATAAAAATATGAACTTGATATAAATTAAGTTTTTTCAAATTTAAGACTAATTTTTTCCCGTTTTATTGTTTTGTTGTTAATGAACAACACTAGAATTTTTTAAGGGCAGAGATATTGATTGACCTGTTTTATGAAATAAAATTAAGTTTTTTTCATTGTTTGAATATAGTTTGTTTGCTCTGAACCATAAATTAAAGTTTTCCAGTTCATTATTCATTGCTCCAAACATCAAATTTAATTTACTTTGATTATAAAACAAAGTTTTGTCATCAGTATACATTATTGAAGATACTGTAGATGATGCCTTTTACGTATCATTGACATAAACTAAAAACAATAGAGCAGTCCAGGGTTTAACGTTTTGTTTGAGGCTCTTACCAACTGAGCTATCCGGCAACAATCAACTGAGCTTTCCAACCACTTTCAAAACACAATTTAGACGTCTTTGTGTTTACATGGTCATGTTCTATCAAAGTTGTTTACAAATCATTATTTCTAATTCTCTTATTATTATAATAAAAAATTAACCGGAAAAAAAAAAGTTTTATTAGTTTCAAGTTCATATATCAATGATAGCCATAATAGTTTCAAACTATTATGGCTATCAAATTATTATGGCCTTCACTTCCCTATGTTTAAAGTTTTATTTTCATATGAATATTTATATACTGCATATATATATATATATATATATATATATATATATATATATATATATATATATATATATATATATATATATATATATATATATATATATATATATATATATATATATATATATATATATATATATATATATATATATATATATATATATATATATATATATATATATATATATATATATATATATATATGTATATATATATATTCATATCTGTATAAACAATTATTTATGATTTCATAATTACTTTTTAATTGTAACAATGTACTTTTTTTATAGTTTAAATGTTAAAAAAGGAAATATATGTAATACATTTACATTAATAAAAATTTCGGTTGAAAAACATACCGAAAACCGAAAAATTTCCCAGATTAAATTTTTATCTTATTTAGAAAAATAGTTATTTTTTCAAATTTTCGCTAAATATTTTAAGAATTTTTACAAAATGCCTTGAAAAATTTTGTTTTGCTGGGAAATTCTGCCCGTTGTTAACTTTGCTATTAACTTTTGCTAAATTATGTATTGAATCTTAATCTGTGAATTCTAACAAAATAAACGTATAAAAAAACAACAAATTTAAATTTTCTTTTTAAATAAAATATTTGAATGAAATTAATTTTGACTAACCAAAATGTCGGTATCGGTTTCGGAAAAATATTTGTTAAAACCTCGGTTTTGGCACCGAACTAGAGTATCCGAATTTCAGTTTATTTCGGTTTCGACATTTTTTCTGTTTTGGTGGATCACAAGTTTTTATAGCATTTTAAATTTATTTTAACCCAATGTAATAATATTTGCAAGGTAAAAAAAAAAAAAAAAAGTTCTTTCTGTGGCAATTTTTAAAGCAAATATTTTTTAAACTTGCATGGAAATTTTACTTTTAGAAGGTGTTTTTTTAACCTTTTTATCTTGCATCAGTTTTTAGAAACTCGACTTGTGGCAACAACATAGTTCCTGGTTATCAATAATAAAAGGCTGTTGAAATAATTGGTTATTCAGTTGTGAATTAATAATGTTAATTTATTCTTAAGAAAAAATCAACATTATTAATTTTACAATAAAAATTAGTTTTAATTATAATTTTTTATAAATTTTTATATTATGTTATAACTACAAATTATAAATTTTTATTATTATGTTATTAAATTATTATTTTTTTATAATTATAATTTAATAATAGTTATGAGAAAATTACCATATTAACTAGTGACTATAGACTATTAAAAAGTGTACTGAGCACTAGCTATGCTTAGAGTCAAGTTCCTTAACAAATTTAAAAATAACTGAGGAACCAAAAACTATAAAATACAAAAAACCATCGTCATCACTCACTAATATTCGTGGTCTTCAAAATACCTTTTGTTATGCTGAGTCTTATCTCTTGCAAAGTTCAGCAAATCTAATTGCTCTTTGTGAGACTAATTTTAGTACGGCTATTCCATCTTGTGTTCTTAATGTTGATATTTATCTTCCTTTAATTCGTAAAGATTCCAATAGTCACATGCTTGGACTGGGCATTTATATTCTTAAAAATCAGCCGTTTGTATGGAAAATAGGTTTAAATCGTCTTCATGCTGACAAATGTGCTTCTTACGTAACTTCTTGGATTCAAGCTCGCATGGAATTTTTAATTCCATGTTGACAACTCAAAGTCAAGCCTCACTCTTTTCCATGGTTTTTCATATCTCGATGTTTTCAAATTGAAACTATTACTTCCATATCTATCATCAAAAAAATTGTTTAGAAAACAGACGATTGTTTACTTTTGCTAGAAACCATTGTAAAAAGGTTTCGTCTAACGCCAAAGTCAGCTATTATCAGATCATAAAATCTCCTATTTTATCTCAAAAGTTAGGCTCTCGTGACTTCAGTAATATCTTTAACAATATCAATATTAAGCACAAATCTGTTATTCCACCTTTCTTGTATAGTTCAGTATTTGTCACCTCATCTAAAGACAAACCTGAATTGTTTGCTAAGTACTTTTCAATATCAATATCACCTCTTGATTCCACTAGTTGTGTGGTACCTGATAGTTGAAAAGCATGTTGAGATCTAATCAGAGTTCTATTTTCCAGCCTGTTGTAAATTGGAATCTGTTATCTCTATTTTCAAAAACACTGGGGAGAGATCTGACTCGTCTAAATACCGTCCCATCAGTCTACTTCCTATCATAAGCAAAGTTTATGAGTTTTTAATTAACAAACACATAATACTTCATCTTGCATCTAATAACTTACTTTCATGATTACCAGTATGGATTTCTATCTTCTCGTTCTTTAGCTAATTTGCAACAGAAATAACCAATAGGTTTTTTTATTTAGTTATTTTAGATGCTCACAGAACTCCTTACGGTCATATGACAGAGTACCGCGGGAGAGCATATAACAGGAAGTTTACGTCTCCTTCTTTACTAATGTCGCTTGTTAGGCTAGCGCTGTCATCAAACCTCGAACCTCTGGGTTCTTAGCCAGAACTCTAACCACTGCGCCACGGCTGCTATAGGTTTTGTTGTGCATTGGATAAATATGGAATGGTTAATGTTATTGCTCTCGACGTTTCTAAAGCTTTGGAAAGTTTTTGGCAAGCTGGTCTTCTCCATAAGTTTTTTTCTTACAGTGTATCAGGTAAAATCTTTAGGATTATTGATTCCTTTCTTCCTAATTGTAGTATAAAAGTTGTCCTTAATGGACTGCACTCTTCTTTTTATCCTGTAACTTAAGGTGTTCCTCAAAGTTCTATTCTTGGTTCGATACT